GACAGGTAGACAAGAATAGAGAAAAAAGAATCAAAAGCAATGAACAAAACCTCCAAGAAATATCGGCTTGTAAAGAGACCAAATCTACAACTGACTGGGGTACCTGAAAGAGATGGGAAGAATGGAATCAATATGGAAAACCTATTTTATGATATCATCCAGGAGAACTTCCCCAACCTAGCTAGACAGGCCAAAATTCAAATTCAGGAAATCCAGAGAACTCCAATAAGATATTCCTTGAGAAGATCATCCCCAAGACACACAATCATCAGATTCTCCAAGGTCAAAATGAAAGAAAAAATGTTAAGGGCAGCCAGAGAGAAAAGGTGGGTCATCTACAAAGGGAAGCCCATCAGACTAACAGTGGACCTCTCTTAGCACAACTCTTACAAGCCAGAAGGGATTGGGGGCAAATATTCAACATTCTTAAAGAAAAGAAATTCCAGGCCAGGCGAGGTGCTCACATCTGTAATCCCAGCACTTTGGGAAGCTGAGGTGGGCAGACCACTTGAGGCCAGGAGTTCAAGACCAGTCTGGCCAACATGGTGAAAGCCTATCTCTACCAAAAAATACCAAAATTAGGCGGGCATGGTGGCACACTGCCTGTATCCCCAGTTACTTGGGAGGATGAAGTGGGAGAATCGCTTGAACCTGGGAGGTGGAGGTTGCAGTGAGCTGAGGTTGCGCCACTGTACTCTAGCCTGAGTGACAGAGTGAGACCCTGTCTCCAAAAAAAAAACTCCAGCCCAGAATTTCATATCTGACCGAACTAAGCTTTAGAAGCAAAGGAGAAATAAGGGTTACCAGCCACTACAAAAACATACTGAAGTACACAGACCAGTGACACCATGAGGCAACCACACGAACAAGTCTGCAAAATAACCAGCTAGCATCATGATGACAAGGAAAAAAAGAAAAAAAAAAAAAAGCAGGGGTTGCAATCCTAGTTTCTGACAAAACAGACTTTAAAGATCAAACAAGATAAAGGAGGGTATTACGTAATGATAAATGGTTCAATTCAACAAGAAGACCTAACTATCCTAAATATATATATACACCTAATACAAGAACACTCAGATTCATAAAGCAAGTTATTAGAGACCTTCAGAGACTTTATCTCCCATGCAATAATAGTGGGACACTTTAACACCTCACTGACAATAGTAGACAGATCAGCAAGACAGAAAATTTACAAAGATATTCAGTTCCATAAAATATGGAAAAAATCCAAAATCTGAAACATTTCTGGTCCCAAGCATTTTGGATAAGGAATACTCAACCTATAGAATAAGTTTAATGCTACTGCCTTGATTTATATTAAGGTTTCAGTAGTTTCACCCACCATTGCTTTTGCACTGTCAATGCAAATATCTGCACAGTGAAAAGGGCAAGTACTGTCTTAATATTTTTACTACAGTTTTGTCATTGTGAACCCCTTGAAAGTTTTTGAGTACCTCCAAAAATGTGTGGGCCACAGTTTGCAAACTATGGCTTTATTCCAATTATGCATTGAGATTATTTAAAACTGGGTATTAGTCCCTGTGAGAATAGGTCTATTTTTTTTGAAGAGGCTAAATTTTATTTAAGAAATTGTGTATACCAATAACTAAAATCATTTTTAAAGGCACTCTGATGAAACTGCATTTTTCAGCCTTACAGGACACCCTGGACAGTTTTTACTCTAGATTTCAATGTCATCCCACCCTGCTTCTTCCTTCACCAATACTGAAGGAAGTTCATTTTGCTCCCTGCCAGTCACACAGGCAGATAGGAGAGGCAGGTATGGCCTTTGTTTTCAATAGTTCTTGATTCTTTGATGTGAAGTGCAGTAGCACAGTCATTTAAACTCAATCCCACTTCTCTGCATCTTATAAAGTAAAACAGCTAAAAGGAGTAAAATAAGAAGGCAATGCTTGTGGGATGTAGTGTATATTGGCAGCACAGTCCTCATTACTATTTACATAATTGTTTCTCCTGTTTCATCATTTCTTTTGAAGGCAGTGGATTTTAGTCTTGTTTTTGTTCTCTTCGATTTATCAATCTCAGACATATTGGGTTTGTCACACATGGTCAGAGAAGAAGCAGAGTGAGTTGCATGAGTGAGTAGAGGCTGGTCTGTGCAGTGACCACAGCCAAGTGTAGAATAGGTCTATTTTTGGCTCAATCCTGCTTCTGAGCTGTGGCTCTTTGGGTTCTAAACAAAAACTTAGACATTTACCATCACCCCATACCTTGATAGGCTTTGAACTCCAAACGTCTGTGAAAGGTCTGCTTTACTTCTCACTTAACCTTCTGGATTTACCTACTTTTCTTTATCTTGGTATCACAAACTCTCATTCCTTGTTAGCTCTTTAGAGTCAGCATATACATTTAAAAAAAAAATTTTAGACTAGTATTTCTAGTTGTTTTCAATGGGAGATTTGGTCCAAACTATCAAAACTGCAATTGCTTGCAGCTTCTAGGCATTAAACTGTTTCTTATGGTTTTTGTTAACTATAAAAATAAACAATGCTTGTGGTAAAAAAATAATAATAATACAGATATACAGTTTAAAATGGTAACTTCTCTGTCCCTACCATGTCGTCCCACTTTCTAATTCCTGGCCTCCTGCAAAGAAATGCACTTTCATAAATTTGGGGTAAGTACTTTCACTCTTTTCTCTATACATTTATATACATATATTTTTACAAATACACATTTTTTAAAGTATAAATGAGTTCATGCTACATTTTTACTTTTCCTAATTTCTCTCTTACAGAGTAATCTTTACTTTTTAGTTAACTCAATGATAAATAACAATAATTAACATTTTTTAAGTGGTTACTCTGTGTCACGCACAGTCATGGGTGCATTAATGGATTATTTCATTTGTTCTTCACTACAGTCTTGTGAAGATAAGTGTCATTACCATTTTACAGGTCAGAAAACTGAGTTTCAGTGAAGTGAAATATACCTACTCAAAGGTACACAGCTGATATATTTTAGTGTGGATGTTAAACCTGAATGTGTTAATTAAACTTTGTCAACATTTTAATGCTATCATATTTCTGAAGTGTATACTATCATGCAGTGTAACATTTACAAAATATCTTCTAATGGTATAAACATGCTCTATACCAAGGTCAGTTTCCTGGTTTTGACATTTTACTGTATCAGATGTAACAAATTGCAGAAACTAAGTGTAGGGTATAAGGGGCCATTCTGTACTGTCCTGTCAAATTTCTGTGTGTCTATAATTATTTAGAAAATAAAGAGTCACTAAAAACTTACATAGGGTATGATTCCATTTAGGTAAAATTTTTGAAATGGCAAAATTATAGAGAGGCACAATAGATTAGTGGTTGCCAGAGATGGTAGAGGGGGAGAGAGATGTGTATGTCTTGTAAGTCAACATCACAGATCTTTGTGGTTGTGAAAGAGCTCTGTATCTTGATTATGATAGTCATTATACCAATCTATACATGATAAATTGCATAGGCCTCCCCACCACACACACACAGTTGTGTATATAAAATGGGCAAAATCTGAAAAAACTCTGTGCATTACACCAATGTCAATTTCCTGGTTTTGTTACCATATTATATGTATGTAAAATATTACCATTGGAGGAAATGGGGTGAAGGGTATAGGAGACCTCTTCTTACTATATTTGAAACTTCCTGTCAATCTATAACTATTTCAAAATAAAAAGGAAACATAATTTAACAAGTACACCAAAACACTCCTCAAAAAACCACTTCGGACAAATGTTGGTTTATCATATTGTAAAGTAACCAGTTAGAGTGAATTGTTTTCATTAGGAATTACTGGTTTTTTGCAGTCAAACCAAACTTGTCAAGACTGTAATACTGAAGAAAAGCAATGGAGGGGCAATAAGTACAAATTGCTTCAAGAGTCAACTAAAGGCCAGGTGTGGTGGCTCACACCTGTAATCCCAGTACTTTGGGAGGTCAAGGCAGGAGGATTGCTTGAGACCAGGACTTTGAGACCAGCTTGGGCAACATAGGGAAACAACGTCTCTATGTGGAAAAAAAAAAAAAAAAAAATTTTTAAGTCAATTAAAGTTCTGATTTAGGTATTTGGAATTCAGGTAATCAAATTTTCCTCTTCGGAGAAAATTATTCTTTTTTTGGTTAGGGTTGATTTCACCAACTTTAAGATCCTCCCCAGTGGAAAACTGCATATATTAAACAACACATGGAAAGCAATAATAGCTAAACTTACCTGGCTATTACTACCCACCAGGCACCATTTTATGTAATTATGCCCATAAACACATATTAAGCTCAGAATACTCTGCTGCAGATGTTTTAATATTCCCATTTTATTGATAAGGAGAAAGCAACAGAGTTGCTTCACAGTTAGGAATGTAGCAAGTTGTAAATAGTTTCTGCTATAGCTAAATTTCTAGACATCTTTTAAGTCTCCTACTTTGGGTTTTTACAAAATTTCTCCAATGAAAAGAATATTATCTTAATTATTGTCATTAGCATTAGTTTGATGGACTATTTGCTTTATTTAATGGACCATTTGCTCATCTGCTCTATCTTGCTCACGAGGCAGAAAATATAAGAAGCAATAATATTTTGAAAAGTGTGCTTTCTTTCCTTGGGTTCAAATAACAAGAGTTAACCTGAGAGAGAGAAAGAATAGGAAATTTGGAATTTGAAACCAAAGGGAAGGAACTGATATTTAACTTACCACAGTTTCTCCAACATGTTTGCGATAACACAAATAGCTGATCTCTGAAGACCTCATAAGCCCTAATCTTTGATATTATTTTTGTAACTCGAGTGCCATGACACCATCCCTGGGGCAACACGGTAGTGGGGAAACGGAGATATGCGTCAGACATGAAAGGCAGGGGAAGAATGCCGTCAACTCATAGGCACTGCTGGGGTAACACAGGCTGGCAAGCGCGAGGACATCCGGAGGCCGCCAAAGGCTCAAGGACTTCCCGGAAGCAGCCGAAGCGCGGGCGCGGAGACTTCCGGGAGGCAGCTAGTGGCGCATGTGCTAGCGCTTCTGGGCGGTAGCGCGCTGTGTCGTTGGCGGCTCCCAGCCTGCCTCAGCTGCAGCAGCGGGAAGCTCAGCGTCAAGCCCTTGTAGTCCTGTGCGATGGCATCGCGATACGACAGGGCGATCACTGTCTTCTCCCCAGACGGACACCTTTTTCAAGTTGAATATGCCCAGGAAGCGGTGAAGAAAGGATCCACCGCGGTGAGGAAGCGACTCCCGGACTATTCCTCCCTCTGACCAGTCAGCCATCGTTACTCCACCCCTCCATCCTAGGAGCTTGAGAGAGGAGATTCCCACACTTGTGAAAATTACTTTGTTCTTTTTATTTAGGGAGACAGACTTTTGAGATTTGGGCCAGAAGTGGCAGAGTAAAAGTTGGTAGATTTCCCCGATCTGTGCTGTTCAACTGCTCCTCTTTAATGGTAGCTACAGATGCAAAACTAGGGTGGGGGTGTGGGGTGGGTGGGTGTGTGTGTGTGTGTGTGTGTGTGTGTGTGTGTGTGTGTATGTTATGTGTTAATGCTGTGACTGACAATAGGGAAATAAAAAGCTTCTAATGTGTAACAGCTATCTGAATGCTCGTGGTCCAGTTCCTCAGTAGTTCAGAGACCCCTGAACTGTTAAAAGTTAACAGTTGCTTCATGTTAGGAACTATTTTTTAATAACAATTAAGATAAAAATAAAAATTGGCCACACCTGCCCCCAAATATGGATTAAATCAATATAAAATTAAAACTCTTGTTGACGAAGAAATGATTAAAAACACAGTTCAAATACACGCGTTAAAAACATCCCAAAATTGCCAGGCGCGGTGGCTCACGCCTGGAATCCCAGCACTTTGGGAAGCCGAGGAGAGCGGATGACCTGAGGTCGGGAGTTTGAGACCAGCCTGACCTACATGGAGAAATCCCGTCTTCACAAACTTGTCCCAATATTTCGCAGCCTTTTAGAGGCTCAGAAGCCCAAAAACTTCCACATTTTTGTCCACTTAAAAAAAATGTTGAAGTTCCTTGAGAGATTATACCCTACCTTAGGCTTAGATTTATGTATCCACATTACTGAAAAACTTAACAAATACTCAGGGTAGGAGTAATACTGCTGCCCAGTTTTAACTACATTCAATAATTTTAGTGATTTATAAAAATTAAAGAGGACAAAAGTGCCCTAGTGACACAAGATCTATTATCCCAAATCTTCTAAGTCCTCGCCTATGAATTAAAAGGATCGGATATTTTTATTCTCTTGATTTCATGAGCATGTTTGTTGTGTACTTTGGAAATTGAGCCAGTAGCTATGAGAATACACAGTATGTTTCTAAGTCTAGCAGTGTCTGTATTTTCTGACTTTCTTTGTTAAAGAAGGAAATAATTCACTTTCATTATAAATCTAACAGATGTAAGTGGTAAAAAAAAAAAAACAACACTAGAAGAAGAATCGTTTTAAAAGTATTTTTCTATTTAATTGGGCCCACCAGTTTTGCTTCTGTTTTACAAGTAATTTTTTTAGAATTATAAATTTAAGGAAAGTCTGATGTAGCTTAAACCAAAAGGGTACCATTTTGATAAAAACAAAAAGTTATATAATCCCCAGCATAGCATGTAGCATATGGTTAGAAAATAATGCCCAAGTTTTAGAACCTAAAATAAAGGGAGTAATAGGAGAAGACTGGGGTGTAATAAGAAACCACACTGGCTCATTTAACATGTTTTAAGAGTGCTGTAGAACTGATTGATGGTTCCTTTGTAATGAGCGGTAAAAGGGTAAGGATATAAAAATACCTATAGTGGGCATTTTTAAAGATACATTGGAAGAATGAGACACTTTTGTCTCAGAATTCTGAAATTATAATTTGCATGTTTCCATGGAGTTATTCATTGTGTTTCCTTGAGAGTGCTATGACCTTTTACATAGGGTAAAGTTTTTTAATGGCACTTGATTATTAAAACATGTCACAAAATATTCTATCTAGAAGTGCAGATTGATGTTATGAGTTATAAATAAGCCAAGGTTGACTAGCTTTGACCAGTATGTAGATGTGATATTATTTAGTAATGTAAGAGTTATATGGGCCACAATAAAGGCTTTGTGTTCTACTTCCTTGTTGATGATTATCTGATAGCAAGAAAGGAGACAAGAGGCTTGTTTTCTTTTTGCTTTAGTTCCCTTTTCTGTAAATGCAAATTTGTTTGAATAACATTTTAGAGAAGTAATACCTTTCTTCTTAGGGAAAAGAAATGAATCCTTCACAATATTCCCATGAAAACGATAAGATTTATTATCATTCCTCGTTTTGTCCTTTCTGTGACCTCAAACTGTTACTAGCTCTGTATTTCCTACTTTATCTAATCTCAGCTCTACAATCTAGCCATCAAAGTCTTCCATAATCCTATCCACCCTCAATTTCGGAGGCAGCTTCTTGGCTTCACTAATATGTGTTGCTGCCTACAGAAGGGGGAGAGAGGAAAGGGGAAAACACCTTTCATTCTGCTGCTCTGCATCTTATTTATCCTTTAATAATCTCTGCACATTTGTCCTCTATAATGAAGCCTTCTCTGATCCACTCCAGTCATCCTGGATCTTTGTCTTTTCTGAATTTATAATCTGTACCACAGAATATTGTACAGTATTTACTATTTGACCTGATATTTTCTTTAATTTCAGGTATATTTAATAGTCTCACACCAACTGGATAGTAAGATCTCTGAAGATCTAGACAGTATAATTCCTTTTTCTATTTCTACTACACAATATACAGTAGAGGGGCTAGGAAGGTAGTAACTAACATTTAAGAAATACTTTCACCAGGCATTTTGTGTATATTATCTAACATTAGGGACAGTGTTTAATCCCCTTTTATTGTATGTGAAAGTATGATTCAGAAGCATATATAGCTTGCTGAAAGTACCCAGCTGGAGAGCGATGGAACCCATATATATAATTATTTTGTTCTAGTTCCAAAGCCCCTGTTCCTTGCATTGTAGCATGAAATTTGTTCAATAAATGTTTATATATTAATTAGCTTCCATTATCATGAATGTAGAAATCAGATATGTATCATCTAAGGCAATTAACTTCATGAAACTTCAGTTTCTGTAATAGTAAAATAGGCATCAAAATAGCACTTGCGGCTGGGCTTGGTGGCTGATGCCTGTAATTCTAGCACTTTGGGAGGCTGAGGCAAGTGGATCACTGGAGGTCAGGAGTTCGAGACCAGCCTGGCCAACATGGTGAAACCCCTTCTCTACTAAAAATACAAAAAATTAGCTGTGCATGGAGGCACGTGCCTGTATTCCCAGCTACTTAGGAGACAATTGCTTGAACCCAGGAAGCGGAGGTTGCATGAGCCGAGATTGTGCCAGTGTACTCCAGCCTGAGTGACAGAGTGAGAATCTGTCTCAAAAACAAACCAAAAAAAAAAATTGCACTTGCTTCATAGAGTTGATGTGAGAGTTGAATTAGGTAATAATGCATGTGAAGCATCTTAAACAGAATCTGGTTCAAAGAAAGTACTTAATAAATTGTAGCTATTATTATTTACTATTATTTGTTTTCTCTTTTTTTTTCCATTTTGTCTGCAGTGCTTCTCACACATTCATTTATTATTTCAAGACATTTTGTGTTGAATACTTACATATGTGATGCTAGGTCACGTACAAGATAGATAGCATCACATACAAGATAGATTTGATCCCTGTCCTCAGAGAGCCTACTATCTATCAGGAAAGTTAGATAATTACATAAATAGTCCTAACAAAACCTGAATGAGTATTAGGGTATGAGGCATTATGGGAACCCCAGGTGTTGGAGAGGCCCCTCTGAAGAAATAATACTTAAGTGGACGTCTGAAAGATGAGAGGTTGTCAAGTGAAGAAGTGGAAGGAGAAAGAGTGAAGAGTATATTTGACAAAGGAAATAGCTTGTGGGAAGGCAAGTAGAAAAAGACAGCTATGTTCTATGAACTGAAAGGCATTCAGAATTGTTGAAGCAATGGAAAAATAGAAATAGATGAAGCTAGAACCTGGTGCCAGATCATGGAATGCCTTTAAACCATGTAAGTGAGGATACACTGAATGAGAGACCTTGAAATGTTTTGATGTGGTTATTGTCAGTCTCCAGATTATTGCTCTTCTGTTATTCTATTAACAGACTACATTTGTCCAACAACAGAGATACTCACATGACCTAGGTAGAATCATTTGTAATTTCTATCTTCCTGGCCACAGTGATGAGCATGTCACTCAAATCTAGCCAATGATAAGTTCACCCTTAACAACTCTTCTGACTAGAGACAGTGGTAGCTTTTATTCTCTGGGAGAACTGATGGGATGTGAGTCCAAGGTTCCTGGTGGCCATGTTTTTACTATACAGAGAAACGCTTTCCACATTAGGAAAGCAAAAAGCCAATATGCAAAGAGTACATATTAAAGTCCCTAGATCCTTTTGTCTCATGTCTAGCTCTGTGCTATGTTGATTTGCTTAGTGACAAATGGTCCCTATATAAGCTTTAAGTAAAGGAATGCCACATTCAGACTTTTTCTTCTCCTCCTCCTCCTTCCTCCTCCTCCTCTTCTTCTTCTTCCTCTTCTTCCTCTTCCTCTTCCTCATTTTATTTTCCAAATATTTCTCAGGCTACCTATGGTCAGTGAATTGGATGAAATCAAGACTAGAGACAGGGAGACCAGTTAGGATTCTATGGAAATAGTCTAGATGAAACTTAATAGCTAGCTTTTACTAGACTTGGGGAGAAAGTGAAAATAAGGCAGATTCCAGAAAAACATTAAGCAGTATACTTATTACAATTTGATGGTTATATGGATGGTGTTGACAGAGGTATAGGAGAAGAAGGAATAAAAGTTGGTGTCCCTGTTTCTGGAGTTACAAGTTGTTGTCTTGTGACCAATAAATTTAATTTGATTTATTTCAATTGTGAGAATATTTTGAGATTTTTGTTTTAGTCCTAATATATATTAAATTGTTACAACATCCCATGGCTTGTTAAGAAGGCATATTCCCTATAAAGTTTAACATTTGTTCATTTGATGGGGATAGGATATGGAAGGAGGATGGCTGATTTGAAATATAATGGTTAAGATAATATAATGATATTATATTATACATTATATTTATTATACATTATATTTATTATGATATAATAAATATAATGGATAAATTGATAAGAAATTAGAGAACAATAAAAATGA